GTAAATCAGAGCTAAAAAAGTGCAAAAACGCAGGCAAATTTGCCTGCGTTGGTCTACATATTAAGGGATATATATAAAAATTTTCATTTTTTGCTAGATTCTTAGTTCAATATATATATAAAAGAACCACAGCATAAAAGAAGTAATCAAAGGAGTAATCAGACTTATTCGTCATATATATTTTTATATATACATATGTATATTATGCATCGCAGAAGCTTCTATCATTTTGAGCATGGTCAAAATAAGTCTTAATCAAGTTCGTCAAAAAACAAAGATAGAGGCTATAATAAGTCAAAAAAGAAAGAAAGCCAAAATAAAGGAAGTAAGCCTTATCTCTGCGATTGCATATCTACATTATACCATAATTTATACAATTAATATATTTTTCAGACCAAGTCACTTTATTAACACGACAAGAGATTCAAAATTTGTTTGAAGAATTTCTTAAGAATGTAATAAGACCAGAATCAGATATATATAGTAAAGATGAGCAAACCCAAGACAGAGGTCGGTTAACTCAAGGCCAATTAAATAAAGATCGATCAAGATCTCAAGACCGATTGAGCCAGAGTCGATCAAGATCTCAAGACCGATTGAGCCAGAGTCGATCAAGATCTCAAGACCGATTGAGCTAGAGTTGATCAAGATCTCAAAACAAACCAAGCCAAAATATTTTTTCAATCCGTTATTCATATAATGCTAAATACTTATCTATTAATGATCTTCCTTATAATCTCAGAGTTGTCACAAGAGTAAGTTTTTATATATTTTGTCGTTATTATACATACTATATTAAATAATTATTTTATATTTTATATTTAGCGTCAAGTTTTTTGGATCATTGAAAAAATGCCAGCTCAAAGTCAATTAAAATTAGATCAAACATTCAGTTCTCAAAAAGATTTAATAAATAATACTATAGTTTTTTTTTTTTTTCGGTGTTAAGGTGAGGTCATGCCTCGTGACTTTATTATAAGCATATATTTTGTATATATTATG